AGTAATATGACGATAATATATATAAATAAAGTTGTAACGTTTCGTTTTAATTTAACGCGTTACGCGAAATAAATTTCTTATTACTGCGCCACATTACATATTCGCAATTAACGAAAAAGAACTGTTACATTTGTTCTCTTTCTACATGTACTGTTTTTATTAGATTTTTTAAATCTTCTGAACTTTTTACATTCCCAGGAAGATTTTGTTTGACAAATTTGATACCAAATATTTCAAGGGTTTCATTGTATGCAAGATAATGGTTCTCTTTGGTGAGATCAACTGAGGGTGCAGCTTGAAGTTGCTTCTGTAGTTCTGGATTCCTACTGACATGAATTAAAAACCTGGTTACAAATTCTGCATACTTGTACTTTTTGGTCACTGGGAAATTGGGGCAAAAGATTCCAAGCTTTTTAATTGCAATTCCAGGTTTGCCATCCTATTTCCTATTTTATGTGATTTCAATAACCCTGCCCATTTGTAATAATGTAACCACACTTTAAGAACATTATTGTTGCCTGCGAGTATATTATTTTATAAAGGTGGATTGCAATACCAACGGCTGCCCAAATGAGTTCAAGGACTCTGAATGTGGACCTGTAATCTACTACCCTTTCCAACTTATCCAAGTATTGTGTACCAAGTGTTCTGGCCATTCTAAATGGACCATATCCAGAAAAGGCAGAAATTAAGGTATTGCACATGGCTTTATTTGTATGCCAAGCTCCCAATATACAATTCAAAGTTTGGTGAGGATTGGAATAATTGTTTAATCTCTGGTAGATTGCTTAATCACAAGCTACATCCAAGGTGCCAGACATACCAAAATCATATCACAAGATTCATATACATTATCATTAGAATTGGCTTCTGGACCTCCCTGAAGGAACACAAGATTTGGTGTTGGCAAGTTACATCCAGGTTTTATGTATTTTCGAATTGATTCATTAATTTTCTCCATTCCAAAATCTTTATTATTTTCTTCATATAAAACAGAAAAAATATCTTCATATTTTTCAATCCATTCATTAGCAAACCAATCAGAAAAGATTGGTTCTGGTAATATTTGCTCACTATCATCAATAGGTGTTTCAACAGGATGTGGTAACTTATACTGGAGTGAAGTCCTAACAACAAGTCACATCAAAAATATTCTCATATGAATATGTGTGGTCTCTGATGTCAATATTATCAATGATAGCAAGATTCCAAATATTTGGACCTATTTCAAACCTAGATGCTGGTACAATACTTGATATATGTTCATTACGAACCCTATATTAATGACACTTGCTATGTGAAGCAACTTGAACTGTCTGTAAGGTTGCTTTCTGTAAAATTGAATGAAGATAGGGCAGGAGTTTGGGATTTTGACATAGGGAAGATATTATTTGTGTGAACCAGATTTTCATATGGGGAAAGGCAATTTCAAAATCACTGATGTCAAAAATGTGGTGATTTTTTTTATAAGTGAATATTTTATTTCAGTTTCAGGTAAATTAAGTTGTTTTTGACTATCTCATGTTTTTTTATATAGATTGGTGACTAGACTGTTGAAAAAGCTAGTGAGATTTTTTGGAATTGCCTCATAAATTTCATCAAGAGATTCTGGTTCTTCCAGTGGTAATTCGTTTTCTTTGATTATACTACATGTTTGCCAAATCGAATTTGACCATAATTTTTGAATCCAGCTGACTGTTTTCCTCATCTTCATTCATATTAATGTTTTTTACAGCCAAATCTATATTGAGATGGAAAAAACTTGGGATTAATAGGTTATCAGAAGATCCTATTACTGTAGAACTTGATGGTAATGTAGCTTTTGTTTCTGTTGTATTAAAATCTCCAATGGCCTTGTTTATTAGAAGATTTAATAGATTATTATTTGAGGAGGCAACATTATTAATCCACCTGGCAATAAGCCTCAAGAAAGATGTAGAATCTTCCTCATGCTTTTTTCTATCTACACAGGAAGATGTTTTTTTTTCTGAACCTGGCTTCACATGAAGATGAGCACCATTTAATACCAAGCAATCAGTGCAAACATATTGAACACATTGAGTATTTTCTGGAATGCTAGCCAAAATTGGATGTTCTATTGTTGCTTGACAATCATGTAAACCATGACATGGAACTTGGATATTACAATTACAAACATTCCATAAATGTATTTTACAGGAATTACCCCTTGTATAAAAACACTTGTACCTGTTGCAAGAAGGCACAGTTTTTTGTGAATAGTACCATTATAAAAGGGTTGTGTTGCCTTTATATATGACTCTCCTTCTACAGGTCGGTGAAACTTATTTTGATCAAGATTCAAATGTTTTAAACATATGCCTAATTTTTCAACCTCCTTTCTAACTTCTCTTACAGCATTTGAATCTATCTCAAAGCAACAATCAAGTTGTGAATACTATGATTATTATTATCAATACAGTTGCAGCACTCAATTTTTTCTTCATTATTCTCATTATCTACAATTACACATGGTGTGACTTTGGGCTTAATTTCTTTTGGGACTTCCATATCAAATTCAGCTTCACCACTAAGATTTTCTTGCACAACTTCATTATTTTCAAGTATTTCATCATCACAATAATCATCATCTGCATTATCAATATTTGTAATTTCTCTTTGAAGTGTATCAGATCAATTGGTGTGTTTTCCATTTTGTTAAATTTTTATTGTTTAAAGCAATGGTTGGTTTTTTTTTAAGTTTTTAATTCCTTGATTAGAATATGATTTAATAATTGAATTATTGAACATTGTATTTATAAGTTTTTTAATCAAGAAAATCGTGACTTGTTTAGTATTAGTACTTTTCTTTTGCCACTAAAGCCACTTTGGTCATTTATAGCCATTTGTTTATGGTGGGTATAGTAACAATGAGATTTCTAAATATTGTAATGATTGATATTCTAAAAATAGCATTCAAAAATTAATTTTAATATAATGACTGACAATAAAAGAAAATTTTTTAACAATAGTATCACCGATTAAATTTGGGAAAGCGTATTTTAATTGGTGATAACAATTATTTTTGTTTTTGCATGGATCAGAATGAATAGGGATCAACGAATTGATTTTTTTATTAGCGAATAATTTTGGTTAAAGAAGATAAAAGTTTTAAATAAAATAGAAATATTTTATTTATTTAGTTTTATTTAGTCGAAACTAATTTATTAACTTATTACCAAGTTAATTTTTATTATGAAACTTTAAGACAATGTTATTTTAGAAGCAAGTCGAATTTGAGTGTCTTTTATACAATTAAATTAATTAGTAACAACTTCATTGCAATCTAGCATTCTAACCGCGATATCGCGACGTAACATTCTAACCGCGACGATAATTTCTAAATAAAGTCAATTAATTTCGACGTTATACGAATAAAAATACAAATAAAATAATAAAAATGTAAATAAATATGAATAAAAATAAAATAAGAAATAAAATATAAGGAATAAATAAATGTAGATATAAAAATAAAGTAAATAAATAAAAATAGAAATAAAAGATTTGGTTCGGAATTAGAGTATTTCGACTAACAAATTAGTGTTAAATCCTAATCCTGGTAACAATAGCAACAAAAATTTATCAACATACTTCCATATTGCTATTGTCCAATTAAATTTGGGGGAGTGTGTTTTAATGGGTGATAACCATTGTTTTTGTTTTTGTATGGATCAGAATGAATAGGTTATCAACAAATTGATTTTTGGATTAGCAAATAATTTTGTTTAAAGAAGACAAAAGTGTTAAATAAAATATTTACTATTTTATTTGTTAGTTTATTTAGTTTTTCTTAGTTGAAACTAATTAACATGTTACAAAATTATTTTTACATTAGGTTGAAATTGAGTTTTTTATATACATAGAAATTCTAATATCTCAATTAAAATATCTGAAAAGTTATTTCAATATTGCAATAATATCTCAAAATTGAGATGATATTTGAAAATTGCATGGATATTTAATTGTTCATAAATGATAAAAAATAAAAAATTAGCATTAAATTTTAATTTCAGTAACATTATTTTATTAAAAATACATAGGCAACCCCGTTAAACCGAAGGCAATTGTGCAGGGACTTTTCTTCGGATTAACGGGGGTTTTTTTATAATCCGAAGTTATTATTAGAGTCATAAATTAATTCGGATAAACAGGGTAGTAAATTTAAAAATTTAGAATTTCCTTTATCCATTTATTATTAATAATAAATATAATAAATCATAATTTACGAAATCATTTAACTAAAATAGGTGTCAATTTCTGTTTGAGCCATTGACATAAAATTTCTTTCTTTAATTCTCTTTTAAATTTGTTTAATTCATGGATATTTAATTGTTCATAAATGATAAAAAATAAAAAATTAGCATTAAATTTTAATTTCAGTAACATTATTTTATTAAAAATACATAGGCAACCCCGTTAAACCGAAGGCAATTGTGCAGGGACTTTTCTTCGGATTAACGGGGGTTTTTTTATAATCCGAAGTTATTATTAGAGTCATAAATTAATTCGGATAAACAGGGTAGTAAATTTAAAAATTTAGAATTTCCTTTATCCATTTATTATTAATAATAAATATAATAAATCATAATTTACGAAATCATTTAACTAAAATAGGTGTCAATTTCTGTTTGAGCCATTGACATAAAATTTCTTTCTTTAATTCTCTTTTAAATTTGTTTAATTCATGCAGGAAACTCTCACTAATACCTATTCCTCTTTCTTCTTGCATTAGAAAAAATTGGAGCCTTTCAATCGATTCCATAGCCTGATCCATAGTTATTTTATCTTCAGAAACTTGAGATTGGTTATCTTCTTCTTCAATCACTTCCTTCCCTTTAACTAGTTCAATGATTTCTTTATCAGCTAATTTATCCTGATTTTGCAATCTCAAATCTATTTCTATGTAGTCATTAGCAGATAATGGATCATCAAAATTAAAACAATCAATCATTTCTTGGATTGAATCTGTATTGTTATCAGATGGTAAAATCAAATAATCTTCAATATTTTCTGAAGAAGGAAGGATATCAACTTTAGACCAGTATGAAACAATTGTACTAGGCGAAACAAGGTTCCATGCTTCTGCAGTAAAAGAAATAGCATCAAATATTGTAAGTTTT